TTAAAATCATTTTTTGTTATTAAATAACGTGAGATCCATATCCACAACACTTCAATCTTATCTTTCGGTTTCCATCCTTTGAAATAAATTGGATGATAAAAGATGACAACGCGAACATTAGTTGAACAACGAATTAAAAAATTTTTTTCTTCATCAATTAAAATATTTTTATTAACACGTAACCACTTTAACTTTCTTCCAGATTTTATGTAATAATTTACGAAATAATTATCGCAAGAAGTTGCGTAAGAAGTTTTTCCATCGTCAATCGAAATCTCCCAACCAAACCTTCGTTTATTTAATTCATCAACAATTGAGTTTATTTCATCAGTGAATGACGATTGACTTTCGTAAAAACATTCGTAGAAAAAATTGAAACCATCAAAACTATTAATACTTTTAGATAGACAATCTAAAGAAAAATTAAATGTGAAATATAACAATAAACAAATAAATAATAAACAAAAAATAAAATAATAATCAAAATTGTGATATTATAATATTATTATTTTTCTATATACAAATATAATTAATACACTATAATTAAATAAAAAATTGAATACATTTATATATTATTAATAAATATATTATATTTATATTATAGTATAATAAACATATATACATTAATAATAAATGAAATTATATATAAAACTTAATAAAACTTTTAAACAAAATAACTTCTTAATAAAAATTATAAAAAATATACTAATTTTATTATTTTGAACATAATTTTTATATTAAGAAATTTTATTATAAATGTTGTGTTTATAATTTTTAATAACCATAACATACATATATAAAATATATTTTTTACTTAAAATAACATAAAACAGATTAAAAATATGTTTAACTTAAAAAAAATGGTTTATTTATTCATATTGTCATTCGAAATAAATATCATCATTTCTTTATTTAAGAAGATAAAAAGGAAAACCTGTTTTATTTATATGCAAATTTGTAAAGAACTCAATGTATTTATAAACCGAATTTCTACAGAACTTGTTCAAATTTAAAATTTACATCGAAAATCTCCTTCGACAATCTTATTTAAAATAAGTTAATTAAATAAATATAAAAAAACGTCAAAGAGTGAGGGTTCAAATATTTGGTGATTCGATTTCGACGTCGATTTGAAACTTTGAAGAAAATCAATAAAAACTTGCAACTTTTATACAACTTATAAATTAAATTTTGATGCAATTAGCGCTTCTTGAATAAGGCTACAAAATATATATTATTAAAACATAAAAAAAAGCAACTAACGCAGCTAAGAAGAACCAATAATCTATTCAATCAAATTTAAATTTTTATATAAATTATATCGAATGCATGTTTTTTGGATAGACAAATAAAATTTTGTTTTAAAATTTTGTAATTCATGTAACAGTCATTTTAAAGAAAAGTTTTACTTTCACTATCATTTTATAAAATTAAAATTTTTCTTTACGAGTGACCAAATGAACACAAGTTCTAATGAGAAAATTTAACTTACGGTGAGAACATAAAAAAAGCAACTAATGGCAATAGTTTCACAGCTAGTATTAAAACTTGGACGAACTGTCGATTTACAAATTATTGAACTATATTGTGGGAATATTTTACATGTTTATTAAATCGAATGAAACGAATAAAATTAAATTCGCTTGAAATTACAGTCTTAGAATAGAATCAGCTTATATCTTGAAATCAAGTTATTATCAAAAATATTAAATTTAAATATTATCTTTTCTTGCAATTTTTTTTGTTTAAAAAAATTCACTGAATATATCAACAAAATAAACAAAAATGAAAAAAAAAAAAACTGTTTTCATAATTATATTCAAGAGATCATTGTCGTCGTATCGCCTTAAAACAATTCGACTTTAGTTCCAAAACATAAACTTTTTAAATGAAAAGAAATTATAATAAAAATTGATTATAAAACTGAAGTATACTTACAAAATTTAAAAAGTTTTGTTACCAGTGTGAATTTTAATAAACAATGATAACAAAATGATACCGTAGCATTTTAAGAAAATAAATTGAAAAATGAGTTTTAAAAATTTAAAACTCGATCATCGAACTTCAAAAAATCTTTTAATAAATTCGAAAAAAACAGTAAATATTGATAACAAACTTTTCGCTTATAATATGATTTTGTAACCATCGCAACCGATTTCCAAATGCACGATAGCGGTAGCAGGTTCTTAAAACGAAAAGATTAAAACCGAAAAAACCTTATTATAATTTTACATACAACCTACTTTTTAAAATTGTTATATAATTTTTGTTCCCTACAGCCCCGGATCATTGTAACTAAAATGGAAAACACTGAGCCATCAAAAAAAAAAAAAAAAAAAAATTATATTCAACTGTATTTTTTTATCAACTGCTTTTTAAAAGATATGGTCGTTCCACTAAAAAAAAAAAAAAATTAAAAGAGCGCCGATTTAAATGTAAATGTTTTTGATAAGATTGAACTCTTAACAAAAACTTGTTAAATAATTTTATATTTGCCAATATAATTAAAAGTGTACTTTTAATTATATTGGCAAATATAAAATTATTCAACTGTTAAAAAAATTATTACACTAAATTGCTGAATAATAATTTTTATTTTATGTAATTAATTATATTTTATTTATCAATTACTTTGATATATTATTCACTTTTATTGTAGAATTTTTATTTGTTGTAATAATTCTTACAATGCCTGCATTCTATTACAAAAAGATAATATATAACTGTTTTCATATGCAGTAAACAACGTTCGTCTAAAGAATTTTTTCATACTGCAATAAACGACACTTGTTAAAGTGTATGTTCTTGTAAACATGCAAACGTTTGTTAAAAAAAAAAAAAAAACAGAAAGAAAAACGAACGTCACTTTTCTTTAATTTTGCTTATGCAAACGTTGGCGTTTGTTTAGAATTAATAAAAACGAACGTATTACTTTAGCGTTTTTTTTTCCAAATATATATGCGATTGATAGTTTTTTATTTAATATAAAAACACATATTTATAATAAATATAATATTTTTAAAATTACAATTTACAGTGCAGACTTCAAATTTGAATGAATTTGATGCTGTTTTGACTACTATTGAACTGTAATTTGATAAAGAAAGACCTAAATTTTATACTAATTTAATTTATCCTAAACAAAGTGAAGAAAGAACATTTATGCAATTGTTTTGCAAGAAACGATGTACACCACAAGGTGACTCGTAACCTCAACGCCCAACACAAGGACATCTTGACCTTGATAAACAATTGATATAACTGATAAACAATTTAGTAAAGAATAAAAGAAATCAAAGATTATTAAAATGTAAACTGCAATATTTTTCTAAGGGAAATTTTAATTAAAAATTCATATATTTATATGCCCTATATAAAAATATAAAAAACATTAATGTTAGTCTTGCTCTAAACTAAGCAGTTTTTAGCCATTTTAAGGTCCGTTTTTTTGTTTCAAATATGTCATTTGAAGGCAAGGAATGAGTGATTCAATGGCGTTCGAATTTTTTACGAGTTAGTTTAATCATATTTGCTTCAAATATAGATGGTTTGGTTTTCAAATACCAAAACTTTTTAATGTCTAAGAGATGGTTTTCAATAACAGTAACTATGTCAAACAAGAGTTGAGCACATAAGTCACAAAAAACAATTTTTTCAAAAAATAAAAAAACTTAATAACTTCTTATCAAAAAGATTTTTGAAAACTACTTTGAAAGTAAAAGTTACTGTTTCATAAAATTGGTAAAGTTTAATAAAGTTTATTATTTTATTTTTAAACCACTCTTTAGAAATATTTTTGAACAAAAATATTTTAAACCATTCTTTCGAGTAAACTGACATGGTTTAAAAACCGTTATAAATGAATTTAACATCAAAACTTTTTTTAAGTTTTCCATCAAATTATTATTTTTCAACCAGAAGTTTACTTGTAATTTTTTTTGAGAGTATTTTAATATTAATTTTAATGAAGCATAAAAAAAAAGTGCAAAAATATGTTGCATTCTCCCCCATACATGACAGAAACCTATTTAGGATGCAAAAAAATAAATATTATCTCCACTGACACACACTTAACATGAAACTATACTCTTACGTAACTAATACATGGGAGGGAAGGTTTTTAAAACTTTGAAAAACTGTCCCACTCACCCCCTATAAAATCTCGTACCCTACTTTTTATTAATGTTTACTTTATTTTAGAAAAAACAACTATATCCTCACGTGAAAAAAAAAGTTTCCAAATTATTTTTACAAATGTAATTATAGTAATTCCTAATTTGTAATAACTTTATATTCTTATAATACTTTTTTTATTTAGTACGAATGAAGAAAATTTGACTTTCTTGTTGAAGACGTTTTAAAGTAATTTCAAGCAAAGAAAGAAAATAGACTTTTTATTAAAAACCATATGAAAGTGATTTCAAGATTTTAATAAAATACTTAAATGAATTATTTCAAAAACAAAACATTGAAAAAGACGCTGCAGTCTTTTTTATAATATTTTATTTATTAAAAAAAAAAATGTTTCGTTTAAGAAAATCTTATTTGTGTTTTACTTTATTTTTTATATATAACTTTGATTTTTTCAAATTAAAAAAAAAATTATTTCTCTTGCTACACTTAACCAAAGATTTGAGAAATTATATGTCTAGATCATGCTTGAAAGCAGTCTGTTCAAAAATATCAAATAATAGCCACGAATTCGCTCTTACATAATCAACCACTAAAGGTATTTCCAAATTTTGAAAGCTGACGCTGCATCTAATTTAAACATTTTCCAATGGAAAACCTGCCAGAAAAAAGAGCTGGTCCTGTAAAGTTAATACTTCAATAATTTTTAACATTATCTTATCAAATAATAATGCTAATAATGAGTTTATTTATAACATTATGAAATCAAAGGCTAAAAAAACTATTCTTGATTGCAGCTGTATCTGAATTCCCAGCTGTGAGAAATTTAGGAGAATAGAAAATTGAAATATATGTTGCCATCTTTTCCCCATTCTTTATCTTCCTTTTGTCTCAAGTTCAGGATTTGCTTTGTCAAATTATAAGGAAGCATGACATTGCGAACTCTTCAGATCAGTAAATACTTACTGCCATAAACCGTGTATGGTTTACTGCCCCAGGCTTGTGAATGTTGAGATGCTTGAATGTTGGTTCCTAAAAAATGAGAGCTAGCTCAGCAAGTTCCTAGTAGTCTCTAGTTACTGGTAATATTGGATATTATTTTTATTAATAAATATTTCACATTTATTACATAAACTTGAACATTTTAATGGCTAGAAAAACTAACCTAAAAATATTTGAAAACACCTTCATTAACAAGTGTTATAAAAAGATTTCTTGCCTCATCTGCTTGTTCTTTAAACTAAGAATGACAAATCTGTTGCGAATTGAAGTGATCAATGAACTGTGTCATTATCAACATCAACAAAAGTACATCGCCAGGTCTGCTGACCTATGGTAACTGACTCATAATGTTCCAAGAATATATGGTAACTGACTCATAATGTTCCAAGAATATATCTAAAACTCAATCTAATAAATTTGAAGCCATTAATGAATAGTTTGTTGTATTAGCTCTCAGAGTTCTTTTTTTGAATTATTAAAAAAAATTGTTTACCTGCATATAGCACAACAAGTTATTCCAGTATTGGTAGCAGTAGTGTCAAAGAAAACCATTCTTACATAATCAGCAATACCAAACTCGGTCAAAATCTCCTTAATAGCCTAAACCAATTTAATCCTGTATGGGAAGGAACCCATGGAGCACTATGTAGATGAGTAGTTCCTTCAGCTCTCACAAGAATGCAAACCCTAGCAACTGTTACATCAACATTCATTTATAACATGTTCTGGAATTTGGAATCAAATAAATATGTAATAAAAACATTTTCATTGTAATTATTTAACATACTAGTTATAAATAAATATATGCAAACCTTGATTAACTTTCAATCAAAGTGTAACTGAATTTTTATCTTATTTTGTTTGATCTTATTTTAAATAAGAACCTTAATATAATCAGCATTTTTGTTGATGTTATTTTTCAATCAAAAAGCATAAGTATAAGAAAGAGATTTCCAGCTGTGGTGACAGCTGGAGATCTCTTAGGGAAAGCTTAATTACGGTTATTTTATGAGCTGTTGTATCCGTGTCTATAGCTATTCTCAGTCTCTTTAATAATCTTTATGTTGACAGCAATACTTTATTTCGGCTTGTCAAAATTTCTTAGTGAACGTGCCTGAAATTTGTTTCTATTAGAACTACGTACATTCATTTATAACATGTCTAGTATTTGGTTCTAAAAATATTTCAGATAGATGTGCAACTATAGTAACACAAATCATTTTCTGAGTTGGACTTCGTACTTGGTTTCGAAGAAAATATTCCTGATGGATGTACAACATCAGTAACGCACACTTAAGTACCTCTTGAATGATTAAATAAACTTTCACAAAAACTTGTCGATGCTGTAAATTAAGTCTAAACCAATTTATTTCTTCTTTGTTTAATAAACGATAGTCTCGAGAAGGCTTATCGTGGTTAAAACCTTCTTTCAACGCTTTAACTCCTAAACGCAAACCTTTATAAACAAAGCCTCTGTGCAGAAAAAAAGTTTGTTCATTTGAATTTTAAGTTTAACGTTCAATTGAAACTTCAGTCACTACCTTCTTTTCTCTAGCCTACTTTTTCCCATTTCTCATTTACATTTTAAATTAAATAGAATAATACTTATAAATTTAAAATAAATCAATACATAAAGATTTCACATGAACTATTTTTTCCTCTTACAGTTTGAAATTTTTTTTTAAAATAATTTGAAAAATTCTTGTTATAAATTATTAAATAACAATATATAAAATATATTTTAAATTAAGTTAAAGTAGAAAACAAACTTTTTTTCAATACCGTTAAACAAAAAACTTTGAAGAGATGAAATAAAATAATAATCCAAAAAAACTTAAATTTACCCAAAAAACCCACTGGACCAGAGTTTTTTTAAAACACCACAGGTTTTTGCCAACCCTGCTTTAAGTCTTTATAAATATAGTACAAGATTGTGCACATCCTGCTCTACTGTTGAGCTGGTTTTTCTTGAGTTTTAAATATCTTTAATATATTTTGCTATATTTCTTTGCAGTGTGACAGGCCCAATAATTATATTGATCTTAGCAACAAAGTTCACCTAATAGTACCAAAGTGACTTACCCAAGATTTTTTGGTGTTTGAGATAGTTAACGTCCAGACATGGAGCAATCCCTAAATTTTTGTATGGTTATACTTATGTCAAATAATAATGCTTTGCAAAAAAGTTGTGATGGTTACAGACTAAGAACAAGGCCCTTTAACTTCAACCCCCACCACCCCACCCCACACCAAATGCAAGAGGCAACAAGTTGATAAATTTTTCTTTTTTACTTTTCTCAACTAGACTTATATTTAATGATAGATTTTAAGTTCATAGTAGTAACAATAAAATTATTACTATTAAAAACTATTACTTGTATGAAAATTATTACTATTAAAAATTTTTAAAATAATAAAGACTTTTTAAGTACTTAAAAATTTTTAAGTTCATTGTAGTAACAGTATGACACTTCAGTAATAATTTTGTATGTTAAAAAGTTACATAAAAAATTTTTGAAGATATTTGTAGCAAAAATTATACTTATCAGAAAATTTATTTCTGATAAGTATATTTTTCAACAAATATAATTTTTTATGAAACTTTATATTAAACTAAACTTGTTTCTCAATGTAGTTAAAAATGTTAAATAAAAATGGTTCTTTGTAGGTATAGGATCAGTTTGAACTAACTGAATTAAAAACTATAAATTGAAAATGAAGTTGTTGCTAAGCGGACAAGATATAAGATGCTTATTTTGAGCACTGGGAGCCATTCTTTTTATTCAAGAAAATGCTTGCTCGCTACTAGGAAGACATCTTAACTGGTTTACCAATCAAAAAATGTTTCTTGGTACTTACCCTTCTTTTCTTAACAAAATTCTTATACATTTTAGAATTTTTAGACTATAAAAAAACCTGTCACAAATCTTCATTTAAAAAAAATTGCATTAAATACATTAAAAAAACTAATTAAACACTGTTATTAATTATTAATTATATTAACTAAATATAAACAATTTTACAAATGATTTTCATATAAAAATCAAGGATGAAAATAGTTTTAAACTATAACAGATGAAAACTTAAAATATCGATTTTGATGTATAAAAAAAAAATGAAATTAATAAATATGTTGTCAGTGAGTGTAAGAAACCATGTAATACCTTCTTTATGTGTGCCATATACAACATTTATTAGTTTTTGATTGTCTTGCGTATAAAAATGTGAGTTTTAAACCCCCCTCAATTTGAGTGGGCTACAAACATTATATGGTCATAATTTTTGAACGCTGAAAGATAATACTATGAAAGTTAATGATGAATATAAGTCTAATTGAGAATAGTACAAAAAAATTTTTAAACTTGTTGCCCCTCACACTTGGGGTGGGGTAGGGTGGCAAATATCCTTAGTAAATATCTGATTTTCTGCATGTTTCTCAAATTGTTGAAATAACAACAAAATATTGTGATTTTATTGTTTGAAAACTAAATTTATAAAAAGATTAAATTAAACATTTAACTAATTTGTATAAAAGCTGATAGTCTAAAGAATGAAATAAGCTGAAAAGTTTTGAGTCTGGCCAAAAGAAGAGCTTACTTATTACATCCATAAATTAGGTATTCACAATAAACAAAACAAAAAAAGATCAAATGTTTACCCTCTCAGAGCCCTAATTTAAATAATTAAGCAAATTAAGCAAATTAAGCAAATTAAGTTGAATAATATTGAAAATAGGAAATTAAGTTGAATGAAAATCACAGAGTAAGAGTATCTCCTTCTTCTATTCTTATAATAATTTTTTGCGCTGCATAAATTATGGATGATCCCTTAACTTACATTACATGGAAAACAAAGTAAAAAAATTGCTTTAACTTCTAGATTTTTAGTTTTTTTTCCCTTAGTTTTTTTTTGTAAACTAATTGAATACAAGTGTCGATATGAAATTAATTAAAACTTATATTGTTGTTTTGTTTTGATTTCTTTAATATCCTAAATATATATAGAAATATACTAAAGAAATATACTAAAATATTTATCTAAATAAATATTGATTGAAAATTGGAAAAAAAACACAAAGATTGTTGCATCTAACAAGAGTTAAATGCAACAATCTTTGAAAACACCTCGTTGCTACTTAGTTTCCACTCCTTTTTCTTAGAAAAACTTGCTACGTAAATTAATTTTTTTTAGAATTATAAGTAAAACAATTTTGAAAATATTTTGAACTGTTTTATTTCTTGAGCAGAAAAAGAAACATTTATATCCGGTTTCTTGATGTGAAAACAATTGAGATTCTGCATGTTTCTGGCATTGTATAAACAATCTGAGATTCTGCATGTTTCTGGCATTGTACAAATGACTTCGTTAAAAAAAGCAAAAACAATCTTGTTTTATTATTTTTGCTAAAAAATTTGATTAGCATTCATGCGTATGAATATTGCGCAGGGATATCGGAAGAACAGCCATTTTACTTTGGGATCCAGTGTCCGAACAATAACCACAGGCAAAAAAAAAGGTTTTGCAAAAAAGTATTTCTTAGAAAAAATCTTTTAAAACTAGAAAACCTTTTGGTGTATAAGGGTTTTCTGACAGGATTTTATTAGAAAACTCTTTTGTTAAGGTTTGTAAAATTTATTTTTTCAGTATTATAACCATGTCTAAATTTTTTAACACCAAAATGAATGCAAAAAATAATATATGAATATTAACCAAAGGTAAAAACTTTAAAAAAATTTACCTTTGGTTGTTTTTAAATTGAAATGTTTACTGGTGCGGTGTATCAGGATTAACCCTACGATGGGAGTGGTTAATCAACTAAACAAAACTTTCTTTTTTGATATTTTTCTGAGACAACAACTGGGAGTTCTACTTCTAAATTCTACTCTAGTTCTAGTTCTAAATTTTAGTCAAACAGGCATACGTTACTTATAAGATGCATAGAAATACACGTGCCTGACATGTCTGCTGTTATTTATTTGTATACTTATTGTTACTGCTAACATTTTAAATTTCTAGTTTATTTTTTGTTAGAAGATAAAATCTTTTACGAAAAATCTATATTTAAAAAAAAACATATTTTGTGGTGTTAGTTTTTAGAAATATATAAAAGTTTAGATTATTTTTGGTCAAAGGTCAAGCATGATTTTTATGTGAATATTTTTTATGCTTGTAGACTTTGTAATGACTTTATTGTTATTGAAAAATTACAAGTAAATATTAAACATTAGCAAAAAATTTATTTGTCACCTAAAATTATTGTTGAAGAGATGTTTATAAAGTTTTCCTTTTACATTTTTGATGTACCTGCCAATAGGGTTACCAATGTATTTCTTTGCCCATAGGAGAACACAAATCAAATTATATAATCAGATGTTTTAAATTCGATTTTTTGACAAAATTAGTTATATACAAAAGGATCAATGTTATGTGATGCTTCAATATTCAAGCTTAGCGTAATATTAAGTTATAATCTAGTTATAAAAATTAAATAAATAATTGCTTTACTTAATGCAAAGGATAATGTTCATTTGTGCGTATTTGGACACAGAACCTTTAAAAATAATGCTTATATTTGAATAATTAAATTAAATTAAAGTTGAATTGATAAAAACAAAAACTTTCAGTGTAAACAGACTTTAAAAATCGTCAACCTAGTTTTCGAAAATGAGCTTTTGGTTTATTTCTCACCAAAATATAAAACTTATATTTATCAAATCTCATTAAAATTATAACCCTAGAATTAAATAGTTTTATGCGTGTTTTGTAAAAATTGGTTTGAATTTATAAATTGAAATTTTTTATAAAAAGTACTTTAATTTTAATTATTCAAATATTTAAAAATTATTCTAACATAAAAAAAAATTCCAATCATACTCTTTTATTAAAACTTCCCCATTTATTAGATCAGGATTAAAATTTCCAATCCTTTTTTTATTACCACCTTCTCCCCTTG